GCTAGTCATTGTCACTGGTTAGGACATTTCACAAGTGAGATGTTTAAAATCTCTGCCAATGGTGGGGCTATTTTTCTCATCATTTGCTGTTGAAATCTGCATTTCCCTGATGAAAGGGGCCAGCCCTTTTCCAAGGTTCTCTGTTTTATATTCCTACGTTATTCCTCACATGTCTCACTAAATTGTACTTTGGATTTTCCAATTCAAGTAATTACCTAGTAAAAAAGAAAAGAGGGCCGGGCGTGGTGGTGCACGCCTATAATCCCAGCACTGGGGAGGCTGAGACAGGAGGATCACTGTGAGTTCGAGACCAGTCTGGGATACATAGTGAGTTCCAGGTCAGTCTCAACTACATAGTGAGACCCTGTCTCAAAACCCCCCCCAAAAAAAAGAGGTGGGGGAACCCCTTGATTTAATTTTTCCTTTACTAAAAATCATGTCAAGGTTTAATTCCAGGATAGTTTGGATCTCTGTGGTAGCTCTCTCTACCTTTTGTATACTCAGATAGATGTGAGTAATTTTCGATTTACCATTCTTCTACTTCATATTGACTGATTGAGATTACATATGTAAAAATGGCTGGAGAATTATTAAATAGGCCAGCGTAGTTAGTTTTGTTGGTTGCCCTGAAAACTTACATAGTCTCATTCCTGTGTATTGCGAGCTACTGTAAAGATGATATCTAAACAGCACTTTATCTTTGAGTCGCTTTAATCACCTCCCTCCCACCTTCCCCGATCATCTCTTTCCTCCACGAGGTGTGATCAACAGTACCATGAGTTCTTAGATATTTTCCAACATTCCCTACAGTGAAGGGCGCATCGCCGCGGGTGCCCCTTCCGCCCTCCCCTCACTTCGCACACACGCGTCCTGTGGTCCTGGCCGCCTTCTGCAGCAGCTGTGGAGCCCTCTTTCCTGAGGGCTTCAGTGGAGCTGTTGCTGCCCCGAGGTCCTGAATGGATTGAATTGGTTCCCTTCTGTGGTCATGTTGACTTGGGAGGAGCCGGGAGTCACAGGGTGCTAGAGCGGTGACGGAGACGGTGAGGGCGCAGCGCCATAACGGTTTGCGAGCTGCCTTTCTGTTGGACGGCGCTCAGCAGCGGCATCCGCCGCAGTTCTGGCCACAGCTCATAAAGACACTAAGGACAGAAGCACTTGCAAACCTGCTCCAGAAAGTGGCGAGAACAGTGGGGTAGATATATTTGAAGCAGGGCTGCAGTGATATTTTGCAGGGGTTGATGTCAGTGTATCTTTTACTGCAGTACAATTTAAAATTTAAAATTCACTATTTTAATCACCTTTGTATCATAGAATTACCTCGTCTTATTTTTCATATCATAACCAAGTAATTTTAGGTTGTAACTGCATTTCCCCTAGATATTCTGGAGCCTTTAAACTGTACATCAGTCCATCCTGTCCCTCCCTTTCCATAAAGGAAGAAAGCTTACTTTTAGCAAAGCTCTTACTCTTCTCGAACCGTTCTGATGTGTTTTAAACCTCTTTTAGCTTTGCAATCTTAAAGGCCCTGGTAGATGGGTCTTGTCTGATAAAATCATGATGCATTCAAATGAGAAAGCTTGGGGTCTGTTTTTTCAGATGACAAGAAGACACCTTGTGTATTGCTGAGTAGGGTGCTGATGTTGTAATACTACTAATACAGTGGGATAGCTAAGGTAGTTGAGCCTGTTAGATGAGGGGAAATACTAAGTATTTACTGTGCACTTACTGCATTCTAGGGCAAGTACTAAGTGTTTTGCTTGCAGTATCTCATAATTCCTGACTGAGCTTCCTGGGCAAACCCAGAATCCCCCACCATGTGGCCCCAGAATTAGAAAATCATTGAGCTTCATTAAGGGCTCCTGAAAAGGCTCAGGGACCCTCTGTGGAGGGCACCTTGGTTGTAAACGTAGGGCAGTGAGAAACCCCAGCAACTTAAGACTGTGGGTGCTGTACTGAAGCCCTAATTACCACACCCGATTCTGGAGCCTGATAAAGAAGAGACAGTCATCTCTTCCCCTTCCTGCCAAGACAGAGAGGAAGGAGGAGAGGTTCTAACATGACTGAGAGCCCTCAGCCCAGAGAAGTGTACAGCTGTGACCCCCCAGGTGAGACAGGTGTCTCCTCCTCCCACGGTGAATGGAAATCAAACAGGTAAAATAGAAGATATAAGCAGATAAAAGATAGAAATATGGTAGACACTTTCTTGGAATGGCAGGTAAAGCTAATCACATTCAAGCCTTTAGAATTAGCCAATATTTTTGTTTGTTTGTTTTTTTGAGACAGGGTCTCACCATGTAGTTGAGACTGACCTGGAACTCACTATGTAGCCTAGGATGCTCTCGAACTCACAGCAATCCTCCTGCCTCAGCCTCCCAAGTGCTGGGATTACAGGTGTGCACCACCACGCCCAGCTGGAATTAGCCAATATTAATAGTGCTAAAATTGAGACTGTCAAATTTCCTATACTCTGACTGGTGGGAATTTAACTTATTTTCTATTGTAAATAAAAGGAAGAAAAAGTTTTGTCTGGCCAGTGAGATGATAAAACTTATTTACTTGTGAACTATGCACCTTTCTGTAAACTAAGCACTGACCCAAATAACAAATGTGTTCTGCAGCACTCACTCGTTTCTCTTTTACTAGTATGCTTTAACAGTGCTTTTGCTTAACTTGCAAAAGAGATCATTTTATTTTTACTTGAAGATAGGTAAGAGTTCTTAATCACCTGTCAACTTTCAGACTACTAACTTACAGTAAACTTCCTGACAGCCATGATTAATAACTTTAATGTTGACTTAACACAGTATTTCTCTTGAGAATAGACAGTGGCTATTTATTTGTATATACCATTTTCTTAGATACATTTTATTTATAAATGCATTTCTTATATATTTTACTTTTGAAATAAGGTTGTTTGTTTGTTTACTAGAAATGCAGTGGTCAACACTACTTTCTCTGAATAGAGCTGAGACTTTTATTAAGAGATCCACCCAAAAGTGTCTACAGATTGCTTCTTCCTGTTAGGTGGAAGGCTGTGGGGACAGGAGAACAGGCAGTTGTAGAAAGTTTCCAACGATAAAGCTTTAGTTCCCACCCTACTCTTCCCTGACATCAGGCTATAAATGTCCCAGCCAGAGATAAATCATTTATCAACACATGTGGCAATGATGTCCTTTTTTCCCCACCCATTTCCTGATGTTTTACGTGGCATACTTTAAATGTCCACTTGTCTGAAAAACAGTTGATGACTCTTTAACAGGTCTTATAAAACATCTTCTCTGTATCTTCCTGCTCACCTCCGAGTACCGTAAGACAAAGGTTGAAATACTGCTGCCTTAGAAAAAAATCAAATGTACCAAGCAACATTAACAGCTCCAGAAATAATCTAAGCAAGAAAAAAACAAGCAATGTGGGTTCTGCTTTGCAATTGTTATATTTTTAAATGATTAGACCATTACATTTAGCTTAAATAGTTAAAAGGAAAATAAAACTTGGTGGACGTTCAAGACCATGCAAACACTTGCATGAGTATTTTTTGACCCTAAATATGTGGTGTCTTTTCCAGAACCAATTCTTCACCTCTCTGATTCTGGCTGAGACTGTTCCTCTTAGCCCCAGACGCCACACACTTAGGGCTCAGTCACAAGGCTGAACTCCTCTCACTTGCCAGTCACAGATACCGAATTCCCAAGTTACCTACACTTTTGTCCAGCTTGACTGCAATGCTGTATTTGCCAATGCATTTATCATAAAGGGTAAAAATAAAGGGCCAGAAGCAGAAGAACATAGGGCAAGGTCTGGAAGAGACCCAGCCCCAGGGCCCTGGCCGCATGGCCTCAGAGTCCACCCTCCTGGAACGTAAGTGTTTCTCCCTCCTGGGGGCTGCCTGTCCCTGTTGTTTAGGGGTTGGACAGAAGCAGGACTGCACAGGCAAGATTGATGCAGTCCCTAGCCCTTGGTGACCCCCCTGCGGGACATGGGAAGGTGGAGCAGCAAGTTCAACCCCCCAGCACAGGGTTGTCCCTCCACCCCAGTTCCCATCCTGAAATTACCCAGGTTCTGAGTAACAAAAGACTCTGCTCAGTCAGCAGCCCCGTCAGTAAAGTACAGAGGTTTTAGGAGGACCGGGCCAAGAATTGGGCATCAAGGCCAAATACAGTTTTCATTATAATACTGCCGCTGGGTTTCCTCCAGGTGGTGGAGATGAGGTTTTGCAGTCTGGGTTGAACCTTCTGGGTTCTCTTCCATGGCCACATCCGTTAAACCAGTTGTCTATCGCTGCCTCGTCTTACCCCAAAGCTTAGTGGCTATGAACCACTAGCAGTAGCAGTCTCACTGTTTCTGAGGAACAAATGACAGCGTAAGCAGAGTGCAGGCCCTTGTGAGGGGTGTGAAGTGTCAGCCAGGGCTGTGTTCCCACCAGAAGGTGCCGAGAACCGTAGGGCATCCAGAGCCGTGCTCCTCGGTGTCCCTGCAGTGTGGGCCATGGCATGAGGCTGCTCCTGACCTGGCGGCCGACTCCCCCAAAGCAGGTGGTCCACCTGGGAGAGAACAGGAAAGGCCCAGATGGAAGCCTCTGTTCTTCCTGCAACTTAGACTCAGAGGCCAGGAGCCCATGGCTCCTGCCATATCTGCTCTTTACCTGTGGGCAGTAAATCCAGTCCGCACTCGGGAGGGCACAACACAGGGCACTGAGGTCCAACTTCAAGCCCACCCACCCCAAACAATGGGCTGAATTTGGTATAAGGTAAGAAACACTGGACAATGGAGAGGAAAAGCTATAGAGAGATTTGTCTGATAACTCTCACATATTTTGTGTGGCTCAAAGAGTTTTCATTGGCTAAAAATAAATTCTCATTAATTTTATAGTCAATAGCTTGATCTCAGGGGAAAATGTCGTATATAACCAAGAAAATAAAATCCCAGTGGGAGGAGGTGACTTTGGCTTTCTCTACTTTGTGTCTACCGAATAATGACCTTGTTTGCTCACCTTTTTAAAGGGAGAACCAGGCTTCATTGGTCCTCAAGGGGAACCAGGCTTACCAGGGTTACCAGGGACAAAAGTGAGTACAGTCTCTTTTCTTTCTTTCCTTCTTTTCTGAAATTTTTGTCCCGTGTATTAAAATGTAAGGTAACGCTGTTGTTTAGGTGAGCCAGTATTTCTAGCTTGTACAGAACTAGTCTGCCCAGGGCCCGGGCTTCAGCTCCGTGTTTCTGCTGCCTGCCTCACAAGTACAGGTCCCAAGTTTGATCCCTGGTACCAAAACAAAACAGAACCAGCCTGCCCTTTAACAACCCTCCAGAAGGAGCATGGTGCTGCAGGGATGGAAGCAAAGTGAATTCCAGAAAGCCTTGGGCCGGATAGCAGGTTGGCGGGGTACGTCAGCTCCCCCGTTGTCCCCAGATCCTCCTGAACTGCTGCGAGGCTGTCAGCCTCCTGTCCGGATGGAAGCGGGGGAACTGGGAGGAAGCCAGGCCTCATGGACTCCCCAGCTGTCACCACTTCAAGTGAGACTCGGAAGTCAGACAGTGTCATGGCTCCGCCGCCTGTCCAGCTTCAGAGGCAAGTGCGATGCCGTACAGCTACCACCCTGCACAGCTTCTGAAGAAATGCTCTGTAATGACAAACAGCTCAGGGTCTTCTACCCGGCAGCCCTGGACGGGGCCCTGAAAGCACCTGCCTCGTGCCACCTCGTGAGAAAACATGTCAGCCCGGAGTGCTCTCCATCCACCGGCAAGTCAGAGAGGCAGGCGCAGCTCGGGTGGCGGAACTGTCTCACGACACACTGGGGAATCGTGGAAGGGGCCAAGGGATAGCAAACTGCATTCTCTCATTTTTATACCACGGCAGCACGGCCTCAGTGTGTGCCGCCCTCGCCAGAAGTAAGCCAGGGAGGATTTCCGAGAGTTGGAGAAATCCGCTCGAAGTCTGTTTTAATGGGACGGTCCTGATTTCTGCTGGTCAGAGGAAAATAATTCTCATCTTAGTAGACGGAAACTATACATGGCCTGGAGGAGACTGCAACAGAGTATGATTATGCAAAATTGTTGTTCTCTTCAGACATTTCTCTTTGCACATAGTGAGCTGTCAGGCTTCTTAACAAAGTACGAAGGATGCCTGTTTTAGCCTGAAGAGGTTCACACAAGAAATACCTTTCCGGAATAAAAAGAGGAAGGAGTAGAATAACAAACACTCCCTGTTGACAGGAGAACTGTTGCACTTCTCACGGCTTCTGCCCTGTGGACGAGTGCAGCACACTCTGCGGGGAAAGCCACCTGCAGACTCCGGTGGCGTTTGGTCTGTGATACACGGCGAGCAGAAGACACCCAGGCAGTGGAGAGGAGCTCACTTCTTAGCATCTTCTGTGCAGTTAACGAAACTGCTCTACAGTTCCGAAAAGAAAGATGTAGACGCAGTCCCATGCAGGCCACACCACCTGTGTGCCGAAGACGCTGCAGGAGGTGCAGTCCGAATCCGCCCTCAGCCGCCCATGGAGCAAGGACGAGGGTGCCGGTCTGGTATCCCAGGCAGGGATCCCATTAGAGAATCCATTTTATTAGCAGTATTCACTGCCAGCTGATCACCCAGGTCATGCTGGTTGTCATATTAAAAATCTCTTTCAAGCTAACATTGCAGTTTTCCAGTTGTGTAGACAGTTTGGAATTTGTACTGCTAACTTCATATTTAAAAAAATAAACTAAGACTGTCCATTTCACTGTCAACATAGGGAAGAGAGATCGTCCGTAATGAAGAAAGCTGAGTCACAACACAGGAAATGTATTGTGCTGCTCTGACACCGAGCTCGTCAGGGACCCGTATCCAAAGAAAGTGTGTTTTAGCTGGAGAATTTTAGAATACTTTGAACAATTCTGTTTATTACATCAAAAAAATGCTTCACCAGTTATTTTTCTGTGTTCGAGAATGGGAAGCAAAGACCACAAAAGCAGCCTCCCTTCCGGTATGAGGACAGAGTGGTGGAAGGGTAGAGAAAAATAAACAAATAAATGGTAGAATACCAGACAGTGACGGGACAAATCCGGGCCTTTGTGATAAAGAGTGATTCTACGTAAAGGTCTGCAGGTTCCGTTCCTGTGATAACCTGCAGATACGGGAGTTTTTAACATTTTCCTTTTTCCTTAACTAAGTTTACGGTGACTGGCTTAGCAGTTTTTCTGTAATTCTGAAAGTAAAGCAGAAGCAGATACACCAAATACTGTACATGTTCAAAGTAAAAGCCGCCCCTGCCAAGAGGAGCCCTTCAGTCTCACTAGGGGCCAAGAAGGGAAGAGGAGGAGGAGGAGAAGCTGCTGGGTGTGAACCGTCCTCCCTCCTCCCGTCCAGCCGCCCAGCCTCTCTCCAGCCGCTGTCTTCACCCCCTGTGGCCACTGCAGGGCACCCTCTGAGGCGCCCTGGCCTCCATCCCTCCCACACCCACATGTGAAGCCCATGGATTCCAAGCCAAAGGTACAGAGAAGGCCCATGAGATCGAACCTCCCCGACCCTTCCCACCATGAGGCCGTGAGGACAGTGGCCTTCTCCCACCCACTCCTCCATCTGGCCGCCTGATTCCACACATCAGGTGGGAAGTCCAGCGCTTTCCACTCTGCTATGCAGTAAAACGCTACCGTCTCCTTGCGGGGCCGTGTGGCGAGATCTTCAAATGTTCACCACTGGATCCAGCTAGGAATTCACCCTAAGGGAGTGATCAGAGATGCACGGAAGACCTTGATGTGGACACACGTATGCACTTAGCCCTAGCCTGCAGCTGTCTCACTTGTGCAGCTTTCAGCCTTGGCTCAGCCTCTCCACTCTGCGCTTCAGCTCCCTCGTCTTTAGAGCACAGATAATGGCTCGTTTTTGTCCTGAGAATAACACAGGACTGTGCCCCTGGCAGCGTTCTGTACCATGCTGCTGTCGGTGAGGTTGACAACGGCAGGGCAGGCGCTGTCTCCAACACGCAGACCCCAGGGCTTCCTCTCCGCTCCAGGCTCCATGTTACCATCTGACCCTCACCCTCCTGTCCGTGTGGCTGTCGTCCACTTAGCTGGGTCTGTTTCAGCTTCACAGAGCTGTGCCTTAATTAAGAGCTGGGCACGTGTCTGTATCACACCACTCTGCACACGAGGTGGGAAGTTAGTACTTTGCTCCATCTCACGGAGCGAACCGAGGCTTACAGGACTTAACCAACTTGCCTCAAAATGCAGAACTGGTAAATGAGTAGGGCCGAGAATAAAATCTAGGGTGTCAGATTCCAAAGCCTGGAGTTGAGCCCCTTCGCCTGGCTTCTTGCTGGAATACCTACAAAGTGTCTGTCCCTGTCCTGAGGTAGGACGAGGCCCCTCCTCCACTCCCTTTAGCAGTCCTTCCGTCCCCAGTACGGCTCTCGGACGTGTGTGCCACACCAGTCCCTCATTTATAAAACAGAGATAAAACTGCAAACACTGTGCAGTTGTGTATTAGAGTTTTCCAGACAGAAACGAGGGTGGAGGATGGATGGATGCAAGGGAGGGAGGGAAGGAGGGGTGGACGGACGGGCGGATGGAAGGAAGGGGGAAATGTCTCAGGAGAACTGGCTCACGTGATTGTGCAGGCCCAGCAGTGGGAAGACAGCCATTGTGTCCCTCAGTCCAAGTCCAGAACCAGGGAAGTTAGTGGTGAACTCAGCGCAAGGTGCAAAGCCTGAGGATTCAGGGGTCACTGGTACAAGGTCTGGAGTCTGGAGGCTAAGGAATCTGGAGTTTTGATGCCAACAGCAGGAGCGGATCTGCTGGTGCTCTGCCCTCTTGCCCCTCCAGCCTCCAGCTGAGGGGTGCAGCTGCCCCACGGAGGGGACATCTTCCCACCCAGCCCCGGACTCACAATGGTCTGCGGTGGAGACGCCGTCAGACATGCCAAGAAATAGTCCTTTGTGGCTTCCCGAGTCCAGGCAGAGTGACCCTGAGAATTAACCATTGCAGAGTGCTTTGATGGTGCCGGGATCACTCACGTTAAGGGGAACAGGGCTGGGCTCATGGTGAATAGTGGTGACTCCGCTTGCTTTGGTTTTTTCCAACTCGTTTGTTCATCACAAGTGTCACCATTAACCTGTTCTGTCTTCCTTCAAAGGGCGAACGTGGGGAGGCAGGACCCCCAGGAAGAGGGGAACGAGGGGAGCCCGGAGTCCCAGGGCCAAAGGTCAGTATCATGGAAGAGCCGTCCTCTGGTCTGGAAGTGTGTGCCACCTGCTTTACATTAGAACAGGAAGCTAATTCTCAGCACCCCAGGCCACCAGTAACTTACTGCACACTACCTGATCCATTTCAACGGGGACTTTACAGCTGGGCGTGGTAGAACACGTGTATTCCCAGCACTCAGGAAGGAGGCAGAGGCAAGAGGATCACTGTAAGTTCAAGGCCAGCCTGAGACAGAAAGGCCCCGTCTCAAAAAAGGGAAGGGGGTTTGTAATTCAACTTTCCCTGTCCCCTCTGCTCTGTTTGGTGAACAAATTTAATAAATCAAACATGAAGGGAGAGGCACTGTCTCTAATCCCTTATCATTTGCCGTGTATTAAACCCGATATGAAAAGTCTGTTGAGGGCTGTCTGTTTCTATGGTAACTTGATGGTCTGTTACACCTTGAAAATACTAGAGCTCAGAATGTACTTGTTCCATCTTTATTCATCTAAACTTCCTGCAAAATAACCTGGTCACACTTTATTTTAATAACCCATCCTTGAAACGGGGGAAATGTTTACTCTGTGGTGAAAGCGCCGTCCACACAGACAGGGACAGCAGGGGCCAGTGCAAGCCCTCAGAGTGCTCCGCCCCCAGGGGAGCAAGCGGTGGGGATGGGGCCACGCCTGTGTTGACCCAGCATTATGGCCAGCTGCACTCAAGGCTGCTAAGATGAGGTGTTTCCGCATTTCCTGTCCGAGTCACTGCTGATGCCTTTCTCTTGCCGCCTCTGACATTTTCTCTTTTCATCCTCCTGTTCTGTGATAGGGGAAACAAGGTGAATCGGGAGCTAGAGGCCCAAAGGGGTCAAAGGTCAGTACCTTGGTCACCATTTGGCTGTGGCAGGGACCGTCAAGGTGTGTGTGTTTTGCCTTTTCCAAGGAGAATCTTGTTCTAGAATAACCACTTCCAAACAGGGACTGAAGTAATATTTTCCCTCTGCTAATATCATAAACTACTTTGTTTTCTCTTGTAGGTTTCTCTGTGTTCTTATATTGCAGACTATTCTTTGAGAGAGACTGTATTTCCTGTTTCATAAGAATAGCTTCTTTGGGGGAAAATAATTTAAATAATTAAAGTACCTATTATGTAATCTTACTTTTCATTTCTTGCTTATCTTTGTGATAAACATTCAAATTACGCTGTCAACTCACTTTATTGCATTAAAATTTCACCCACTTAAATTAGTCCTTTTTATCATGTTCTTTATCCCATCTGAAAGAAATTGCATACTGTTGAGCTAACTGTGTTTAATGGCACCAGCCAATCACATAAAAATGGGTACAAAAGGAAGAAAATGTAGGTCAAAGATTATTAGTTCTCCATTCATGATAAATTATTATGGTCATTGCTATTAGTGTAATGTGCTTGAAAAATTATAATTCTGTTTCCTGTTTATCACTGTTGATCTTTACCCATAAGTACATAGAAAGTCAGAAAAATACTTTGAATTCATTTATGAAATGGTCTATGTAAATTTAAGCTATTTTAAAGAACAACCAACTCTACCCAAGTTCAAATCTTTTCTCCCAACTCTACCAACTCTGACTATTCCTGGTATCTGTAAAGGTTATTCCTAGCATCTCCACAGATGGAATAATGACATCATAAATAAAACTTTATAGATTTTTCACTTTGCCTTGAAAAACAAGAGCAAGCCGCCCTGACCTGACCATTAGCCCGGACCCTCAGTCCTGACCCTCAGCCTGGTCCGGTTGGGTGCTGTCCACTTCAGCACTGGGTGTGAAAGTCCTAGACCTTTGGCTCAGCCAGTCCTAGACTTCACAGGAGGCTCGCCTGTGCCCTGCTCTCCTTCTTCTCCCTAGAATGAGCTCTCCTGCCCAATGACAGTAGAACCTTGACTTACAAACTCGATCAATTCCCGAGGGCTGGGTGTAACTCAAATTGACTGTAAATCCATACAGCTGAGGTATGGGTGTTTACCTGAGTACACGCTATATATAACAAGAGGCAGACAAATCTTCCATTAACCTGATTAACCCAAGTTGTTTGTATGTCAGGCCAGTCGTAACTTGAAGGCCCTCTGTATCTAGACTTCTTCTTGACAGACACGGTTGCTTGACCCTTTTTCTCTTCATCCCAAATACCTTCAAATAAAAAAACCATGGTTCAATCTGAAAGGTGAAAATTTACTTGGGGTGCCTTGGAAACTGCTGGCTTTGCTTTAGCAAACCCCATGCAGAGAGAGACAGGTAGACAGCATTCTGGTCACCAGATGCCTCTCACCTGAAAAGTGAACTGTAATTCCCTGCAGGCTGCATCTCAGAGGAGCCTGTGCAGTCGTGGTGGCAGTTGGTATTGTTTTCCGCTTCTGAAATTCACAGTAAAAGTGCTGCTGAGGACATATTTATGTTGTAAATGCATCTTTTGGTTTGAGAGATTTCTAGACTATTGGCCCTGCTACTGATTAAAATATTTTCTTTTTTGTTCGTTCTTCTGTTGGGAAAGGGTGACCGTGGAGACAAAGGGGACTCTGGAGCTCTGGGACTAAGGGTGAGTACACCTTTCTTCTAAACTTTCACCCCTACAGACCCAAATTTGAAGAAGCATCTGTAACTTCTGAGAGACACCTGAGTGCTCAGAAGGCACTGGAGTGGGGCTGCTGGAATTATTCCTCTGCTGACCATTTTCTCTTTAGCAGTCTCTTTTTTAGGGGTAGTGCATTGTGAATTCTAACACATAAAATAAGCTTTATTGAGAAGTGTGAAAAAACATCTCCACCTCCTCTCTCCCTCTACTAAATGAGAAAGAGCAAAACCACAGCCATTTGCCTAATAGGATTTCCTATTTTCCACTTAAAACAGTTACAGCATAAAGACAGCAATAGCCCATAAGTTTAGAGCCCTTAAAATCAAAGCAGGGAATTGGGACATGACTAATGGAAGTTGTATCACAGAAAGAATGAACAGAGTAGAAGTCTAGACTGTATTTAACATTGTCTACAGAAGTCTGTATTATATGTCATATATTCTCTTTTTAGTTCCCTGTTTGCTTTCATTTTATGGGATTCTGTTTCCACTGGGAAAGCCACTCATTCCCTATGGAAATTTGTTCTATCTTCTTAAAGAATGAGGAATCGACCTGTGAGATCTGAGTAGAAAGACATTTGCCGTTGCTTTATTATTATTTTTTTTTATTATTATTATTTTTTTTATTGAGTTTATTGGTACATTTAGGGATACAGTACATGTTTGCTTTCTTTATGGGATTCTGTTTCCACTGGGAAAGCCACTCATTCCCTATGGAAATTTGTTCTATCTTCTTAAAGAATGAGGAATCGACCTGTGAGATCTGAGTAGAAAGACATTTGCCGTTGCTTTATTATTATTTTTTTTTATTATTATTATTTTTTTTATTGAGTTTATTGGTACATTTAGGGATACAGTACAGTTACATTCATTGTTGGGATCTTGTACCTCTACATGACAAGTCTTGATTCTCATTTTTTCCCCTTACCTCTGCCCTCCCTTCACCCCCTCCTCCCCTCCCCATCTACAAACACTTTATTTTCATCTTTTCATTCTCTCACATTTTTTTCTTTTCCCTTTTTGTTCTTCCCCTACGTATCACACCTTCCCTACACCTTTAGCTCCTTTCCTCCCATTTCTAAATGTCAGTAATCTTATTAGAATCTTATGCATTGTTGCAGAATATTC